CAAACCTGAGTGAACACAAACATGTTGTTTTATTATGTGCTTCACTTTTCAGCATGCACAGGTGGACATTTATCACTATACAACACAAACAGTTCATATTCATTAACATCTGCAACAGGTGTCAAATTACACCTAAAGCAGTGAATCATCACAGTGGTGACCTGCAAGAGTCTCAGAGACATGACCACACTTTCAGCTTGATAACAAATCATTTTCTCTTTTCATATAGGTATCTTTATCTACACTTGAAAGCTGCAGAGTTCCCTCTGCTCACAGAGGATCAGGTAATCGGGTTATAAGGTCGTAATGATAACAGAGGGTTATAAAAACAAACAGGTGTGTGTATTAGGATCAGGTTTAAGGCCAACATCCTGACTGAGTGTCGTCACTGGAAACAAAGACACAGCACTAAAATACACACGGATTTCGTCTACTTGGATGTGTTTAACTAACACTTAAAAACAAATGATCAACTTTAATCATCTTCACTTGATCATGATGCTGATAATGAAATTAGCTGACTAATCAAATCATCTTAAAGGGACAGTTCACCCCAAAATCAAAAATACATGTTTTTCGTCTTACTTGCTATTTATCAACCTAGATTGTTTTGGTGTGAGTGTTGGAGATATCAGAGCCTTTGTACACGGGACGCCTGCCCCTGCACTAAGCCACCAATGCCCTGCAGCAGTGTCTCTTTCCAGGGATCATGACCCAGTTACTCAAGATAATCCACAGACCTTGTGAGCAGTTTCACGTAGGAACCATTTTCTTTCTACCAAAATACATCCGCCAACCATATCACTACACAGAGGAAGGAACGAGTTGCTCAAATGTATTTTTTCGTGCTTTGAGCACCACATGTTGAGTGCCATCTAGTTCCATTAAATATATATATATAAAAAAACCCAGACATTTCTACGGCCGATATATATATCTCAACACACAGCAACTCACACCGAAACAATCTAGACTGATAAACAGCACTACAGGTAAGAGGAAAACTATACTTTTTTTATTTTGGTTGTCATTAAAGCAGCTGCTAGTTTCTCCTCTGCTACACCAGTGTTGCTGTAGTGTGTACATGCTGTTGCTGACTCACACTAGCTGGCTCTTCCAGCCATTATAATCTCTCCTGGGCAGAGAGATGGCTGGGTTCGAGTGCACGGGCAGCGGCTGTCTGCTCTCCAAGTATGCCCATTGTGTCCACCAGGGTGAGATCTACACACACACACACACACACACACACACACAATGATATTCAATAAACATATATATATGTAACATTTGGTTTCGGAAAGACTGATTGTAAATGACAGCTTTAAAACTTTTATATTGTAGGAATTTATGGTGTCTTGTGGGTCCATGCAGGCTGGGTCGAGTTATATGTATAAAGCAATAATAAAAACTTTGTTCATTCACTGTAAACACTTATCTATTATAAGAACGTTGTGTTTTCAGCTCCATTTATTCATTTACTAGTTAGCAAAACATCTCCGAAATGTGTTAAAGGTTTACATGAAGCCGGGTGGAAATTGGTCCAGCAACAACATGTTATTTAAAAAATAGGGATTATTGTGCTCTACATTTTCTCATAAATTACTACATTTACATGAATAAAACAAAAGTATTACACGTGTCCCAGGTAGAGTTATTATAGCTTTGTATTTGTCATTATTTTTTATTTGTATGTCTTTTTTAATCTTTGTTTTTTAGTTCAGTTCAGTTTCACTGTAGTCTGTATTGTTTTAAAAAATATTTAGTTTTTGTTTAGTTTTTTAGTTTTCAGGTTTTAGGTTTAGTTTTTGTTATAATACAGGGGATATTTGTCAGGGGCAAGATTTAATACGTTCAGAACAGATATTAAAATACAAACATAACACTTTGTGAAGGGAACTGACCCACAGTCATGTAGACACCCCAGTCTCAAGAAACAGATGCACCAACATAGTTTATTTAATTATAATAACCTTGGTCCCAGGACTGTATACGTGTGCATTTTAATGTAGATCAGGATGATAATGCTTTAATATATTTATGTATATAAAACATTTTTAAACACATTTTTCAAAATTACTTCCTGTATATTCCCTCGCTTTTCGTGAACTGATGTTTTACCTTTTCAATGGATGTATTTTATGCTTTTTAAATGTTATTCTGTTGCTCTTGTATATAATTAAATCTTTGCTTACAAACCTGACAGTTTATAATACATTTTTTAGTGTTGCAATGCTCTTATTGTGCAGCTTTACTGAGTTTTGTTAAGACTTTTTGATTTTCTTTTGAAGCCTTTTTCCTTTATCTAATACCTAATAAACAGTACAACAACTTAAATGTACTTATTATACATCATTTTCAGTCTTTTGGAGTCAGAGTTTACTTTTCTACAAGAGGTGGGGAGCAAGCACAGGGAGCAGGCAGTGTTTTGTTTTTTAGCACCACTGCTTGACATATAACATTACCACTACACCCACCTATGGGTGCCTTGAACACACCACAGCAGCTCTATCTGTGCTGTCATAAAACACACCCATATCCATGTCTAACATCTGTCACAGTTCCCACACTGACACTGACCCAGTTCTTGGTGAGTCTGGCTCTCTTCTCCAGCCCGTCCTGCAGCCGCGAGCCGAGGCCTCCTGGCCTGCCGAACTCCTGCACCATCCTGCGGGTGTGACTGAGCTCCTCCGGGGGCAGCAAGGGCTCCAGGGCAGTCAGGTAACCCTGCAGGGTCTGGGCCAGAGGGGGCACAGGCTGTGGGGGCACGGTTGAGGAGGAGGAGAAACACAGCTCCTGCCTCAACGAAACCTGGAGAGAGACGGAGAGAAATGTGTTTGTTTATTACACACATACATAAACTAAAACATTTCAAATATAACCACAGTGCGGGTGCAGTAACTCATGTCAGCACAGTGCCACAGCAGGGCACGGCTAGGGCGTATCAAAAAATAGGAAGTGTGCAAGATATGACTGTGGCAACATTATCAGCTGCCTCTTGCTCGTCTAACAGCCGCGCTGCCATAATAACTTCTCTGTATGAAGGGATATAAACCAACACGTCCACACTACAGCTCTAGTAACAGAAAACGGCTCACCCGACACAGCCATGCCCTGCAGGATCCTGCTTGAAATTTCCTGAAAATCATGTCTCCTTAACTCAGAAATCTACGCTGTGGTGCATCTGTGTTTCAACCAGCAACTTTAGCCTTGTGTTGTGCTAACTTTCTGAGTCAGATCGCCAAAAGAAGGAGAAGAAGGCCCTCCTGCTACGTCTTCTTCATGGTGGATGTAGAGTCCTCGTAGCTCGATGGATCCTAGTTTGAAAACATCAGTGCACGAAGGGAACGTCAACTCCCTCCGTGGTTTGTTCCTTTATCCTGAGAGCATGCAAACATTCACGTCCTTAGTTGAGCTCTACTGACGCTGCAAGCCTGCACACGTGTTGACGTAAAATGTCTCTGTAAACAGCTACGTCGTCACTGAGCTGCCAAACGTCACGTGCAGTACCGCGTCTCTCCACAGAGTGTCGCTGTTTTACCTCTTTTTCTTGGTTTGTGGCTCCTTTGTTTGTGGAGGAAGTATTCAGCAGTGTTGGGATGTCAACGGATGTAACTACTTTACATGAGTATTTTCATCATATGCTACTTCATACTTCTACTCCACTACATCTCAGAGGTACATACTGAATTTTTACCCCACAAGGTAACATTTTGTCTGACAGCTTAAGTTACTTTTCAGATTACAATTTGTTATACCCTTTCTGTCCAGTGAAAACCATGCATCCCCAGATGTGTTGATTTTTTTGTATTCTCTTATGAGTTGAGAAAATGGTCGTACTGTTAAAGCTGCATCCTCACAAAGCTGAAACTGGGCCGATTTACTGACACCATAAAAAGTTGACTTTTAGAGACACAGGGTTCTCAGAGGATAGCGGAACTACAAACATATCTTATATTGTATACAACAGTACACACTCACATAGCAGCAGCACAGTGCATTTAGGTTCAAACTGAACATCAGAGTGGGGAACAAAGGTGGTTTAAGTGACTTTGTTGGTGCCAGAAGGGCTGGATTTTGTATTTCAGAAACTGCTGATCTAATGGAATTTTCACTCACAAACGCTTAAGGCCGGTGGTGGTGGTGTAATGGTGTGGGGGATATTTTCTTGGCACACTTTGGGCCCCTTAGTACCAACTGAGCATGGTTTAAACACCACAGCCTACCTGAGTATTGTTGCTGGCCGTGTCCATCCCTTTATGACCACAGTGTAGCCATCTTCTGATGACTACTTCCAGCAGGATAATGCTCCATGTCACAAAGCTCAAATCATCTCAAACTGTTTTTTTGAACGTGACAATGAGTTCACTGTACTCCAGTGGCCTCCACAGTCACCAGATCTCAATCCAACAGAGCACCTTTGAGATGTGGTGGAACAAGAGATTCTCATCACAGATGTGCAGCCGACAAATCTGTAGCAACTGTGTGATGCCATCATGTCAATATGGACCAAAATCTCTGAGGAATGTTTCTAGCACCTTGTGGAATCTATGCCATGTTTTCCCCTCTCAAATTTAGTTTTTTTTAGATAGATTGTCTTCACTGATTTGATATGCCACTCAACATAAGAAGATTTTTGATTTATTTTTCCACTGTTCAATTCATAAAGTTTTTCTTAGGTCTAATATGCTCATTTTGATACATATATTCCAATGCACTCAACAATGTGTGTCTGCAAATTTTCCATGACAGCTGGGAAACTCCATCTGCTGAGTAAGACCATGTGATACATTTGAAAGCTCCAGGCAAGCTACAAAGAACATTGTTGTGATAATTTTCTGTGCTATTTGATAATGCTATTTCTCAGGTCAAGAACAAACTCTTCATCTCAGTATATAATTTATATATTTAGAATATTTCACCATTATTGTGATCAAAAAGCTGAGAAACACTTTACTGTAGCCTATGTAATTATCACAAACAATTAAGAGAGGAGACAAAACTGTTTGCAGAGATATTTATTAGATTTATTCTCTTGAAGCCAGCTTCTTCCACCATCATAGAAAAAACAATTTGCATGGAATTTATTCTTCTCCTACCAATTAAAATATTAATTTACAAACAAGAAACACTCTGTATATTATATGTGTATTGTATCATAAATGTAATACAGCCAAAAGTCTGATAGCAGCTGCAAAATGAAAAAGTTAATCTGTTAATTGTTTATATGTATGTTTATCAACTACGCTTCCTCTCAGGGACTTTAACTCACAGAGCTCTCTCCACTTCCACACAGAAATAACAAAATAGTCCCTTTATTTGTATCCATAAACATGAGCTGTTACCAGAGTTGTCACTGTGAACAGTAAGGCTTAAATTAGACCCCACAAAACACACAGACCTTTAACTGTCCTGCACAGATTGCACCACCCCTATCCCTGCAAAGTTCAGCACCCACTGAGAGGAGGTTTTTCCAAAAAGGCTTCAGACAAGAAAAATCAAATATCTAAATAAATTGATCTTTATATCATCTGTATGGGCAAATCCAGCAGGCACATGAAACAAGATGATATAAACATCACTCTTCTGTGCTGAGGCAGACTTAAATATAGAAAGTAATTAAAACTAAACTAAAAAATAAAATCTTATCATTATATTGCATAGACAAGTGATCCTTCAGCGCCCACCAGTGCACACCTGAGGGACTTTTATAGTATGTACCGCATTTATACATTCACATTTCTCCCCCAGTTTCCCTGAAAATAAAACTGGGTGAAATATTTCCCCCAGCAAACACAATCATGTTCAACTGCATAAATCAAACTGTACTGTACATGTCTTCCAAAACACTCATTCATTCTGATGCTAGATAAAAACATAACACCACAAGGATTACAAACAGCCAATTCAACAATTCAAACCGAACAAAACAGTAAAAATCATGTCATAATGAACGCTCAACAAAATGTTGGCGATCTCGTCACATGGGCAATTTTGGCGAAGTTGACTGGCTTCTACAGAGGACAAGACTCATCTGGAAGACAGAGAGACGGAAATGGAAGGTAAATTAGGTGAATCGAGGACTTTTATTTTATTTTACATCTTTGGAGCTGACTTCATCCCATTCACCAACAGTGACATTTATGGCTTTGTGTTGACCATAAATGCAACCATACCATTCCATTTGCTCTCTAATAACATTTTAACATTGTAACCAAACCTACATTTGGCAGTGCTGCATTTAAAACCAGTGTTGTGTTGCAATTTGGAATCGTTTATTTTCTTCTCTTTATCAAGCTTGCCCACGCTGCTAACCTGCTAACATTTGCAAAAACTCTGAAAACTGGTCAGTTTGTTTACTGACGGCTGGCATTCATCCATATTACTGTTGATAAATCCCCGGAAAAGACCAGTGTTTAAAATGACAAAATTTCCCAGCAAAATCTAACCTAAGACTCTAAAATGGAGAGAGCTAATGTACCTTTAGCTGATTAGATGTTGTACCATCAACTTTTATTTAATGTCTTCTGAGGTGGCACAGTGGTGCTGTGGTGAGCATTGTTGCCTCACAGCAAGAGAGTTCCTGGTTCAAACCCAAGGTAGAGGGTTCAAATCCGTGGGTGGGGGAGACCCTCCGCGCAGAGTTTGTATTTTCTCCCTGTGTCCGGGCTCTCTGGCTTCCTCCCACAGTCCAAAGACATGCACATTAGGTTAACTGGTGACTCTACATTGCCTGTAGGTGTGAATGTGAAAGGTTGTCTGTCTCTATATGTCTGCCCTGATAATCTGTACCCAGCCTCTCAGCCAGTGACAGCTCGGAGCTGGTTACGTAAAATGAATGTCAGAGTAGGACTGCTCCACACAAGAGAAATGGTTTGCAAACAGACATAAGACAGGAGTCAATGGTACAAACATCTGTTGAATAAACTGTAAAGTTATTGTTACGTTAGTAATCAAACTCATGAGTGACATTTAGCTTGCTAACTGTCTGTTAGCTGCTAGCTCATAGAGGTTTTTTCCCCCTTACAACACTGAAATGATATCTATTCCTGAGAACAAAAAGTAAGGGGGAAATAATGAGCATGGTGAACATAAAATAAAAATAAGTTTGGAGAACTTTTGTGACTGATAAGAGTTTAGTCCGTCTCCTAGTTCTTTCTTATTTTACTAACCAGTCTGTGGCCTCAGCCCCAAGCCAATTAACTACTTCTGAACACTTATACATATATATATATACATATTTAAAAGGGTCACAATTACATGGTTAAACCTTAAAAAGGCTCCATAATGTACTAAAACAGCTGGGCACTTGTTGTGGCAATGACTAGGCTATTAATAGCCCCTTTTACACAGTGATCCCGCAATAGGGCCAGAACGAAGCCTCTTCATTGCTTTGAACCGAGGGTAAGGAGCACATTTTCAGCTGCTGTTCTTTTTCTTTGAGTTAGCTGCTAGCTGCTTCTAGCTGCTAAGTAAATCTCCCAATGGTGGGTCGCACACATTACATGTCAAACTCGTCCTGTCAGCGGTTGTGTCCTGCCCGCAGTCCCTTTTACACAGACGGCGATTCAATGCTGTTACTACTGGCTTAAAGGTGAGACAACTCTGTGTTGTAATGTCACCCCAAATTGCGTGATTGTACCTTTTATACAGAATGGCAAAGCATAATAACGACGCAACATTCTCGCCTTGAAGAGGCAGTGTAAAAGGGGCTAATGACACGTGGGACTGACTCAAAATAAAACCACAGTGCACGTTCTTTGGTATGAAACAACAGCTAAATCAGGCTTTGACTCCAAAAGAAATACAAGAATTCATTGTTGATTTTGGTCTTTTCATGGGATTTGTTGACAATAACAAAATTGCAGTATCTTGCCAGACCCATCATTTAAGGAAAATTGAACACAGTGAAAATAAACAGAAAAGAAACACCATCTTAGCCTGTGAAAAGTCCAAACCTATCAACAGTTTCACAGTGAGACATCATGAATGGCAAAACAATCTGAATCCATAATCTCACTCATCACACGTTGTGTTTCTTGAGAATGGGGTGACACTGACCCACTCTTAGACCCCCTCCTGTTGCAATCCCCACGTTCCTTGTGCTTTTGGACACAACTGCTCCTCCGTCCACTTCAGCCTCTTCCTCCTGCGCCTCCTTTCCCTGCGGCCTCTCGATCTTCCACAGGTCATGAGGGTAGGGGGTACACGCCAGCATGGAGGTCTCTGATGGGTACTCACACACCTGCTCCAGCTGGTCCTCATCGAAACACACCTTTCCCTGTAGACGTGAGTAAAGAGAGGATTATTTTACTTTTATCCAGTCAAATGAATATTCTAATTTGCTTTCATTGTTGTGGGTCTTTAATTAATTGTCTTGTGTTAACAAACTTTATTGACAGCCACTCAAAGGAGGCAAAAATATTCAGCCTACAACAACCTCACATGTACCATTTGGAAATAAGATTCATCATCAAAAAAACATCTGATGATTCTCGTCCCGTGTTTTACTTGTTTTGTGTTTTATAGTATGCTCTGTAGTAAGCGCAGCTTTATCCTGGTCTCACTCCCTGGGCATCAAAATGTGCCACTTGGGCAGTGCCCCCAGCATCATATAACGAGGCACTGTTTAGTATCTGTGTGGGACGCACAGGGCTTTCCACCAACTTCAATGTAAACCCATTGCCCAGAGCAACAGATGTAGTTTAAAGAACGTGAATTTTGCTTAGGTGGGGTGAGAGGGAGATGGATGGGTTCAGCAGATACCAGACTTTGACCCAGGAGAGCAGTATTTGAGATCAACAAACAGCAACATTGGGGCGTTTTTGCCACTCAAAACCAGATGTTTTTTAAGCAGTAATCCTCTGACTCTCCAGCTGTGTTTGTACCTCTCAAAGCTGTAGTTTTGTTGCCTAAACCTAACTGCAGATCCCTTCTTACCTCCATGTTTGTGCCACTCAAAGCCAACATCTGTGATCTTTACCTGACCATAACCAAGTAGTTTTGTTGCCTAAACCAAACTGAGGACTGAAATGTTACCTGTAATTTGGTATGAGAAGATTTAAAAAATAAAGCATAAGTTTAAAGAAGAATATGTCTGTTTTATGGCTGCCGCCTGAACATCTGAAATTTAAATCATCAGTCGGAGAACTCTGTCGACTGAGATTACTCCAAGTCATTTTTGTTTGTTTGGTTAGTTAATGTGCAGTGTACTTCTGGGGATGTTTTGATGCCCTGATTTTGCTGCAGTGTGTGCGCTCCTCACTTTCTCGCTGCTCTTTGGTACAACCTGCTGCAGACACAGAGGCAGCTGCCAGGAGGAGGAGAGGCTTTGCATGGTCAGGCTCTGAAAATTATGTTATTTTATGCCTTCTGCGTAGAAGTTGGGAATTTACAGCTCACAGTAACTTAATACGATACAGTTTTTGGCTTTTCTTTGTTATCTAGTGTTGGCAAAAAATATTGTTGCACATTTCCAACCTGTTGTTAACGTAGTTAGCATGTTTACTATATTGCATGACTACCACTGTAACTCACTGAACCCTGTTCAAACTCTCAAACTGTATATGGGAAAAAAGGAGCAAACAGTCAGATATTCAAATTGAACAACCAAAACTGATCCGAGTGGCATAATTCTGAGTCGGGTGCATCCCTAGTCTGCTTTACTGTGAAGTAATGCAAAGAAAATGTAGGAACATATGGCTACCAAGCTTTTTCAAACACTTTGTGTGCTCATTATACAATGAATTATCGCAGCAGTATTCCTTCTATACCAACTGATTTTCCCTCTTGTATGTGGTAACATGGTCAAATGTAAACAACGCTTTGAGGCACTGAGGTCTCAGCCTGTCTCTGTGAGATGTTTGTGCTCCGTCAGTGTAATGTTAACTGACAGCATGAGGCTTAGCACAGCAGAAATACTCCCTCTGTAGAGTACTTACTGACTGAACACATGGACTAACTTATTGATTATACAGTGACAGACACAGATAAACAAAATGGCAGCAAAAGCATAAACAGTTTTTGGTTTAGAGGTTTAGAAGTGTTGGAAAAGGAGAATGAGGCCCTGACGTATATTTGTGTGGAGTTTGTTTACTCCAAGGTCAGCAGGATGTAAACAGACCCAACAGGAAACAGAACGAGGGTCTGTGCAGGACATCCACAGCATGTCTTATAATAACAGCCTCCATGTGAACAGAAGTAAACACACCTAGAGGTGCAGAAATGTGCAACCACCACACTGCGCATACTGTACGAGTTACCGCTGCTTCACCCTGACAGCAGCTGCCTGCAGAGGACTGCAGATAATAGCTCTGCATTAGAGAGGCTGGGCGAATCATGCTAAAGTACAGGAGGCTAATCCTCCCTCCCTGAACCCGATTAACCAAGGCTAACACAGCAGGACAGTAGAGGCACCGGGTAAGACTGAGGCTGAATGAGCAGAATAAGAGAGAGAAAGAGGGAAGTTGTCATTAGCAGGAAGTTAGTATTTATATTAATGTTTGACAACCCTTCTTCACAGGCTCAATACTGCTTGTTCAGTAAAGTTTCAAACAGAGTTCAGAGGGGTTTTTGAATAAGACTATCCCCCGATTTAAGCTTTTATTATTCGAGAAGACAATATTAAAATTCTTTCAAAAGCATGCAAGAGATTTCTTGGAATATGAATTTGATGGAGAGAGAGTCTGAGGTAAAAGCATACATATGAAGAGGAATATAAATGAGGAGGAAGACGAGGACAAGCAAGTCACCCCCCTCTGTGACATGATGGCATGGGTTCACATGGGGGAGGGAAGGAGGCCTGACGTCAAACAGTCTGAAGGGAATCAACGAGAGAGCGACAGGTGGTCAGAAAATCAGCGCCGTGAAGTGGCCACTAAAGAGGTGGCTAAAAGAGGACTGTGCTTATGGATAAAAGATTTTTATTTAATTAGAGGCCACAGTAATGGGCCTATCAAGAGCTGGAGAAATACATACAGAGAGCAGCATCAAATATGAATTTCTCTTTCACTTGTGTGTCAGTTACTGTAGTCAAATCTTTTGAAACAGATAGTGTCTGAGTCGCATTTGGTGATTTAAAAGTGGGCACCGCGTCACTTCCTCATGTCTTGTTTGGAGGAAGTGTAGAAGTTTGAAAGAGGAAGTGAGCAAAAACATGCAGTGTGACAGGGAGTTTCTGTTAAACCAAATAAAAGGCCTTTAATCCTCTCAGTATGACTGTCAAACTGTCATCTTATTCAGACCACCATCGGGTTATTTTCACTTCTTTCTCTATCCACTTCACCCACGTCGAACTAAGAGTTGCCTGCCTGCTGTCAGGAACACTCAGCCGTGCAGTGGAGGGTCAGCGTGGTCTAAAATGACTTTGCCAAGACTCCAGTCTAACAAACCGAACCCACCGCCAAGAAGACACAAAGAGAGGTTTGTCTGAGAGGAAGAGAGGGCTGACTCAACAAAAATGGCAGAATTAGTGCAAGGGAACAAGGAAGCAGTCTGCAGCACACTCAGTTACCGAGTGAGGGGAAATAACCAGCAGTTTAACAACTCGTACATGGAAAAAAAGCATAAAGAAAACAATGAGTCTTCAGAAAGGCAGTCAGCTGTAGTGAAACACATAAACACAGTCAGAATCATCATCACAGGACGGTGTTATAAAGGACAGGCAGTCTATTTCTGCTCCCTTTATTACATAAGAGCTCCTCTCCCACTCTTTCTCAAACAAGGACTGGATTCAGGAAAAGTAAAAAAAAAGAGGAAACAGAAAGTCCTAACATGAACTTTGACTCCGGTGAAATTCGTTTGTAGTTCGAGTCAATGCTACTCAGACTGAATTACTGTAAGTACCAGCGTGGCCTTCACAGGCATTCACACATGTGACGTTGGGTTAAAAGTAGAAGAAAGAAAGAAGAAGTCGGCTGCTTCTTGTTGTGGTTTCAACTTTTCTGACTCCACTGAAGCCTGCTACAGAAGCATTAACTAAAGGGTGTTCCATCAAACACGTGTCACTTATTATAACCCGCAATTCAGGTGCAGGATTGGATTAGTGAACAAAGCAACCATCAGTTTGCTTTCACTTTCTGTCTGCACTTCTGTGTGTCAATAATAAATGTCCAAAAACTAAAAAACGTCCACATGTTGGGCTAAAATATGCATGGTGAGATCATGATCATAGGGTAAAAGTCAAAAGTCTGGAAAGAGACTGCAGAGGCAAATGGCAAAGCAGATTTCGCCAGGATTTTATGGCTAAGAATCAAGATGTCGTGCTTGATAAGGCTTTAACCGGCTTAGGTCGGTGTCTGTGATCGTACTTCTCAATCAAAAGGGATGTTCTCCCAGGAGTGAGGGAATTCTGCTTGACAACGAGGGAAGGTGATGCCCTCTGGACCACCTCTGATGAACTTAAGAAAGCACGGGAGCGCCAGTCTTTTGAAATCTGGCTTAGTCGGACAATATTTTGAAATTCAGAAGTCCTCCAGTTTGCCATTTTGCAACATGAAATGTTATAATTACTGGCAGATGCAGCACACGTTCTGTGTGGACGCGTACCCTACACCCCAAAAATCTACCTACATTAGGCAGCAACGCTGACCCTCTGTTTATTTTTGTGAGCTGAAAATCTTTTCCCTCAGTGGAAATGAAACTTTTATTTACTTTAATTTCAGAGATAAGAGACAATAAATTGTGAACACAACAAAGCCATCACACAATAACATCTTAAGTCCTGTGAGGAATTATCCTGGCTTCCTATGAGGAGAGGAAACTCTGCTAGCCTTTGCAATGCAAAGTGTGATACGCTTGTGCTAATAACTTTAGCATGTTGTTTATGTAGAAATGTGAGTCATTGTGAGTCACAATGGAGCTAAATTTTGTAACATTACTTTTGTTAAATGTTGCTGTTGTTTCTGGCTTCATATAAGCAGAGGAAAATCCACTAGCCCCTCGGCTAATTTCTGCTATGCAAAATGGGATAGGCTAGTGCTAATAACCTTAGCATGTTGTATTTGCGAAGAACACATGTCTAGCAAAAAGAGACCGTTGTTTTGTCTGTGAACTTTGTGAGTTATCATGTAGCAGAATGATTTTTGTTTAGTGTTGGTGCTAAAAGTCATGTTTTGTGTTTAGGTACGTTTGTTGAATCAATCAAACTTAGTGCGCTTCACACAAACTCTGTTTTGGTGGAGTAACTGCAGAGCTCTATGTAGATCATATGCACAATGTTATTTTGCTTACATTAACACAGTTTCTACTCACCCTTTTCGGGGTCCCTCCTTTCTTGACCAGACACGAATTCTCTAGATTCTGATATCCACCAATCACTTCGATCTCCTCCACTGTAGGGTACTTCTTCTTCGCTGGCTCGGCCACTGCAGAGGTCACCTGGGCCTGCTGCGATGAGGTCTTTGCAGATTTTGACGCTGCTGCCGTGGACCCGGTGGTGGGCCCCGTCACTCCTCCCCCTCCTCCTCCTGCAGGCTTTTTTGGGGTGATTGTGATGGTGGCACCTCTCTTCACTTGGCCTCCAGAGGCACTCCTGATAGAGAAGAGTGGGGGTGATGGGGTTGGAGATGGAGAGATACTAGGAGACTGGGCAGGAGATGGGGAGCTAGGGGAGGAGGCCGGTGTCGGGGCAGAATCTGAGGGTTTCAAAGTATTGTCCGGGGATTGGCTCCTGAGAAATGAGGGGGTGATGGTGGTAGTTTGGTTACATTGCTTGAGCTGAGATGTCAGAGAACAAACACGCCGAGGAGACATTTTGGGGTTCGTTCCTGGTGATTCCTTATCTTTCTCTGAGGTCTTGGCATTGTCCTTCACCTGGTGCTTTAACACTCCTCTGGGGCTTTGCTGCCCTTTTGTCTCTTTGTCCTTAAGAGGAGCGTTTGGTGACGTATAAGACTTTTCCTGCTCTTTCAGCTGAAACTGCTCTATCTGTCGCTGTATTGTCTGAACCCCGCAAATGTCCTCACCTGAGAATGCTTTGCTGTCCCCCTGCTGAGCGTTTGACATGATGGGCTTCACTTTAACAAGGTGCACTGATGGGATGTCCACAGTCCTCTCCCTCAGACACAAGCCCGACCTCGAGCCAACAGTTTCCAAGTTGTAGATCCGGCTCATGGCTGCGAGGGAGTTGGGATGAGACGGCAAAGGGGAGACAGACTGCACAGGATCAAGAGGGGATGTATATTCCTCTACCTCCTCTTCTGAGAGCTCCTTCTCTTCCTCCTTCTCCCTTTCGTCTTCTCTGATCTCGTGTTGGCCCCTGTGGCACCTCAGCTCTTCTTCCACATGTTTGAGGGGGTCGTCTTCATCCTCAGATATCTGGAAGCTGTCAGAGGTAACTTCGGAGGCAGCAGTGGTGCTTGTTACTTCCTCTCTGACAGCTTGTGAGTGTGGGACAGAAACAGGAAGTTGAGGGCAGGTTTTCAACACGCTGACTTCCTGTGTGACGTCAAATGCAGCCGTGGTTGTCTGCACTGCTGCATCTTCCTGTCCCTTCTCCACCTCGCCCAGCTTCTTCCGCATATGAGCTGCAGAGTCCCACTCTTTCTCTATTTCAGTTCCCCTCTCATCCCTGGCTGTCTGAGTGTCATTTATCTCTGCACCTTCAGTCCCGCCTCCATCTTGCGCCTCTCTTTGTTTCAGCCTCTCCAGCTCTCGTTGTCTTATTTTCTCTCGCAGAGACTCGATGCGGCTCAGGGGTTTCCCGATCCTCCAGCTATCCCTCCGCTCAACCCCTTTACCTTTTTCCAAGTCTTGCCCCTCGTCGCTTTGACCCACGGCCTTTTTTCTCTCCAACATTTCTTCTGCAACATAAAACACACTTCTGGGGATCTGAATCTCGAGGGGACCTGGGGAGATTCCCATGGGTGCAATCCTTTTTGGAGATCTTGGGATTGCTTCATGAATGAGGTTGTCTGATCCAACATCCAGATCTGACCCTTTGGTCACTTCATACGCAGGCTTGTAAGATCTTTCTCCTTTCTCATTGCTATAAACAGTTGTGTCTCCAATTTTTTCTATTTTACTTATAAGCTCCTCTGTGTGTTGAGACAAAACGGAGTGTAGGTAAGGTCCCTGTGGCCCTGCACCACCCCACTCCGGCCCTCTGTGGGGGTCTCTTGCTCTATTTGTGACAGCACAGAGCAGACTGGAGCACTCTGTGAATGCTGATTGACTTTTCTGCAAAGTTTCAGGTGGGATTGTGCTTCCCTCGTCCCTCTGAAAATCGGACACCTTTTTGTCGCAAACTTTCACTTCTAACTCTGCAACTTTTTCTACACTCACCTCCCTCTCTGGACCTTTCTCACCTGACTGTCGCTTCAACTCTCTCTCAGCTCTTGCTTTCCCGTCCTGTTTGATCGCAACTCTTCTAGCAAACGAGATTCCCTCTGTGTTTTTGACTGACGCCACTGTGAACCCCTCTTCTCCATCTGCATCACCTGCCCTCTCCACAGCCCTCATGACAACCTCGCTCCTGTGTGGGATGGAGATACACATTTCTGCTTCATTTCTCCTCTGCATGTTCTCCACCTTTTCATCCTCAGTTTTTAAATGTCCATCTCTATGCTTTCCAAACTGGTCTTTATCTAAAAGCCATGTGCAGCCGGATTTGACCTTTGCTGTGGTTTCTTTCCCCAAGCCTGCGACATCAACCCATGGCCCTATGCTCTTGTCTGAGTCTATCCTCTCACGCGTTTTCCTCTCGTTATACCTATCATTATCTAAACCGTTCTCCTCAGCACAGATGACCCGCTCGGAGAAGCTAAACGAACGCTTCGGTACACCTTTCAGCAGCAGATTCCTCTCATCCACCTCAGATTGCTGCTCATCTTCATCTCCTGAGTTTTTTCTCCTCCCAGGCCGCAGGAAATTATCAGAGCTTTTGGATCGAGCAGGAGGCTTGGGGTGCTGTCCGAATTTACTCAGCAGCTGGCTGACCCTCCCTCCTCTATCAACGAACACGTTATCGTCCAAACTGTCCTTCCTGCCATCTTTGATAACTGTTGCCTGGCCCCATGGTCTCTCCTTCTCTTTTTCTATCAGCCAGGACATGTCTGTTCTGAGCTCCCTGCCCAAACTTTCCCTCCTCTCATCCATGCTGCACTTCTCTCCATCCTCTCTACTCGAACCTTTCCCTCCTCCTCCTTCTGGACTCCTCTCTTCTGGGCTTGCCGAGGGCTTTATGATCAGAACCTCAGAAGCTCGGATCTCTGTGATGCTTCCCCCTCCAGCCAGGATCTCCCTAAGGTCCATCTTCATCCCTCTCTTCCCCTGGTGCTCCTCCTCGGGCCTCTCCTTCTCCATCTCTCTCCATCTACCCCTTCTCTCATCACTGCCTTTCCTGTCCTGCTCAATGATGATGATGTTGTCAGCACGGATGGTCCGGAGACAAGGAACGTGGGGTGAAAATGCACTAGCTGGTGGATCTGTTTCTTTTTCCTCCTCATCTTTTCTTACTTTGAGGAATTCCTGCTCTCTAGCTGTATCTTTAACTGACTCTTTCCACTGGTTGCTATTCTCTCTTTCTCTCCCTTGACTTCTGTCCCTGCTCCTTTCTTTTTCCCGTCCCTCACTTAAGTCTCTGAATCTCTCTATTTTCAGCTCTATATCTCTTCCTCTTCCCAACTCCCCCTCTTGACCCCTGGGGCTCAATTTGTCTTTTTCCCTCTCCTTGATTTCTGGCTCGTTCCCTCCTTCTGCATCCCTGCCCTTCCTCCATGCACTCTGCGTGCGAATAAATGGGTTTTCATGAACTGGGACAATAGTTTCTATGGACACCTGACTTGCTGGTTTGACATCTCCATCCAGCCATGGCCCTGAATCTGGACTCAGTGACATGTCGCTTCCCAAATTAACCGTCACAAGGCTGTCTGTGTCACTTAGACCATCAGATGCAGATCTGACGTCCACCTGCAGCAGACAGACGTCTCTCTCTTTTTCCCTGTCGCCCAAACTGTCCTGCTTCGCCTTCCTCCGCTGAATGATTCCTCGCTTCCAGGCGGGCATGCTGGCCAACTTTTCTTCCTCTTCTTTCTCTCTCCTCTCTCGCTCCTCCTCCTCTTTCCGCTTTTTCTCCAGCAGGAGTTGTTTCCATTCCGGCAGAGAGGAGACAGACATAACAGTAAAAGGTTTTCGACAAGTTGGTTGCCTTTCTTTTTTAGAGCCTCTGGGAACTGTCTGCAAAGAAGGAAATGATTAAGTAAAATCAGAACCATTATACAGTGGTTACCACCTGAAATTTAACTTTAGGGCACAATACAGTAAAAAAAAAATCCAAATTCCACAAGTATAATATTAAGTTGATAGATATTTCCAGTGTTTAATAGCCTAAAGAAAGATGCAAAAATCATGCAGAATCACATTGTGTCAGCATAAGCTTGCAGTTCTTGTTTACATGTCTAACGTTTGTTTTACACAAAATAATATAAAAAAACTGAATCAAATTAACTTGCAGCACTTTATGCACATGTAGCAAACGCTCACTTTCTCCTTTACAGTAATATGATGAAAATGTTAAACTCACCAAACCCCAAAGATATCAGTGTATCCTCTTCGACTTTGCTGTTGTCATCTCCACTTGTGCGTCTCGGCTGTGCGTAAAGCGCTCCGCTTCTCGACGGAAAATCTCCTTTGCCCACTAACTGTCAGATTAATCTATGCTGTCAAAACGGAGGGTTTTAAAACGCTGTAAGACCCGGTCAGATCACCCCACGTCCTGACTGTGCACCAAAGCATGAAAACACCTCCGTCGTCGGTATAGTAGTAAATATTTCCAGCCTCAGAGCGGCAGCACTGTAATCCCTTAATTACATTAAATTCCGTCAGGAGAGTTTAGTGGCACACACCATATTGCCGGCCCTAAGAAAAGGCGTTTAAAGAACATAGCCGTCTGCCCGAGCAACAACCCCCCTCACCCCCACCCCCGTCTCATCCCTCCGTCCCGCAGGGCTAATTGGAAAAGAGCTGGAGGTGGAGGTGAAGGGGTGTGTGAAACGGGCTGTGGTGTCAGCAGGACGGAGCACAGATCTGCAGGAGTTTACCTGACCAGGCATTATCAACCTTCCTCATATAGCATGATTTATACGACTTCAATATTTCCAGTCTTTGACTGACTTGATTGATTCTTTTTTTTTTCATGCCAGGACACAACATGAAACTCTCCTTCCTTTATAATGCTTGTTACACCCAACAGAGGAATGAGACTGGGACCTTATTTCAACTGCGCAAGTGAACATAAAATATAACCCTGATCTAATCCCATAATCCATCTGAAAATGGTTGACCACAAAAGCCGAGATATACAGATTGATAATTTAATGCTAGAAAAAAATGTTGGCATTGTATGTTTTTGCAAACCACAGATATGTTACATCTGCAGATACTTTGAAACGTTATGTTTGAATCTGGTTAGGTTTAGGCACCAAAAAACACTGTGTTATGGACAGGAAAATAATGTTTTAGCTTAAAATACTCAGTTTGGGGGACACAATTCTTGCAGGAAATGCAACATTGTCTCTGTAAAAAAAAAAAAAAAAAAAAAAAAAGAAAAGAAAAGAAAAAAAATCTTTACATGTAACTTTACCAGCAGGAAATGCAGCGATGTCTTGGTTAAAAACTACTGAATTTCGAGGCACTATCTCCACAGGCAATGCAGCAAGGGCTTGAAAAAAACAACTGCTTTTCAAGGCACTATCCCAGCTAGAAATGCAGTGATGTCTTGGTTATAAACAACTGCTTTTCATGGCACTACCTGCACAGGAAATGCAGCAAGGTCTTGAGAAAAACAACTAAACAATTGCTTTTCGAGGCACTATCACAGCTAGAAATACAGTGATGTCTCACTTAAAAAACTATTGCATTTTGAGGAGCTATCCCTGCTAGAAATACAGTGATTTCTCACTAAAACAACTACTTTTCATGGCACTATCTCCACTGGAAATGCAGCAAGGTCTTGAAAAAACAACCACTTAACAACTGCTTTTCGAGGCACTATCCCAGCTAGAAATTCAGCAATGTCTCAGTTAAAAACAACTGCTTTTCCTGGCACTATCCCAACAGGAAATGCAGTAATGTCTCGGTTACAAACTACTGCATTTTGAGGTCATCTCAGATTTTGTTGACTGCTTTATAGAGATGTTGATTTGAATGTAATACATTATACTGACAGGTGTTGCTATTATTGCGTCCATCATATATATTATATAGCTATCAGTGAGGTTAAGTTAAAAAACAGAACCACCTCTAATATAAACGAGTGCAAATAAATCAAAAGCAGCTTCTCAAACTGGTGTGACTTGGCCCACACTTGATAAGAAGACATGAAAAGAGATAAGAAATAAACATTTCACACACATACAGTATACAGCTTATTACATTTATTCAACATGAACTTGAAAATACTGAAAATATTACTGTTCGTCATTACAGTGAGGCCACAATGCAGAAAACTAATACAAGCATACACATGTTAAATCCAAGATTACAGTACTTAGTCGATAAGGACATATTTGGGTAAAATCCCAACTCTGTTCCTGACATTACTGCTGATGTGTCCCCAACACAATATAAAGCGGCTGAGGAAATACATTCATCATCTTAGAAACACCATGGAACATTTTTTTTTTCATTATAGCTGCAAATTTGTGAAAAACAAAGCTGCATGTTTTGTGCTTCTTGCCAGTGAGGAATCTCAGGATGACATGTTGAAATTAGTGTGCAGAGAAATACAGCATACCTGCAGTTGGCACACAGACTGTAACAGCTTATAAAAATATACAATATCATAAATGAAAATAAACTCAGTGTTGTAAAAAAAACAATATTTGTAGGGTTTTATTGTAATTTAATATACAATTTGGACAAATGAGGGTTCTCACACCTTCTTAAACATCATATTCAAGGACTTTTCAATGACTTTAAGGTTCCCGCTCATTTTTACCTATTGAATTCTTCAAACTTTTCCATAACTTTCCCATATATTCTACCCCATTTCCATTACTTAAAGTACTTTAAACTAGGTAACGTTAGGCCAACATCGCCTTCACAGGGCACAATAGTGAGGCTCTTACTCCAGTGTGTTAAGGCAGGCATTGTAGCAAAAATGTAGCATGGAATATGGAATCAAAAACCTTTGTCTCTGCACATGCAGTAGACATGAAGTGGTAGAGTTATCTGGCTCGGCTACAGCAGGCGTAAAATATGTGCCAACGCTGGCAGTCTGTTGAGCAGCCTTTTGATTGTCTCCTTGCTTTTTTCCCTTTAGCATGGCTGACAAGAGCTGCTTCCCCCATGTTGCCAAGGTCAAACAATTCCCAATTCCCTCAAATTCAAGAACCCAATCATTTCAATCACTCATGCATGCACGTGATCATTGTAGTTTCTCGACGCAGGTGAAACAATGAAGCATCTGCAGGAGACACACATGCAGGCAGCAGAATGTAGCTTTTGCTAACGTTAAAGGTCGAGCATGTAGGATTTAGTGGCGTCTAGTGGTGAGGTTGCCAAACTGAAAATTCTCCCGTGTGTCAAGTTTGTGAGGGAAGCTACGGTAGCAGACGTGAGAATGTGAAAACATGAATGGCCCTATCTGGAGCTAACGTTTGGTTTGTCCATTCTGGGCTACTGTAGAAACAACATGGCAGACTCCATGAAGAGGACTTGCTTCGTATGCAGATAGAAATGGCTCATTCTCAGATGACAAAAACACAATTCTTGTTTTCGGATGTTAATAAACTAATGAAATATGAATATTATGTATCATTTCTGCCAATAGCTGCCCCAAAATCCTAAACCCTGGACCTTTAATAAAATTAAAAAAGTCATAGTCTTGCACAAATATATAAATGCAAGCACTTTCACTAACCCACATCTATTTCTGAGTATTCTAAAAAACTTTCAAGATCTTGATTTTTTCCCCTCATATTCACACATTTTTAAGGATTTCAAGGAACAGTAGGAACCCTGACGATTTTTTCTTCCTAAATTTAATCAGAATTTAAACAAAGAATTTTAAATTATTTTAACAGTTCACACAAGATGCTCATTAGTAGAAGGATTTATGTTTTAAAACAGTGATTAAATAAAACTCTCCCTATCTAAAACCACGTATGCAATCAAAAAGAAAACTTTAAAAAAGTCCAGTGTCAAGTTTGGCCATTATTATTTAACGCAGCAGATAACCAGGCTCACTGAGAAGTCAGCTTCACAACAACACTCCTGGCTCGTCTTTAAACAGCAGTCAGCTTCACATCGCAGCAGTAAGAAGACCTTCACTTCACTTCTCCTTGTGGTCGCTGGTGTCGATGCTGCCCTGCTGCGGCTCGGCAAAGAGCTGCAGCTTTCTGTTAAGCTGGACGCAGAGGTAGGCTAAATCCTGTTTGTCCAGAGAGTGCGCCAGGGCCAGGTAGGTGGACAGAGTCCCTGACAGCAGGAGCCTGTCCAGGGACAAGGCCGGCAGGAGCCACAGCACGACGCCCAGCTCCAGGCACACCGGGTGGCGGAGGTGAGCCAGGAGGCGCTGGGCTTGTGGTGGCTTGTGAGACAGGGGGTCCCCTAAACCGAGACACCCGTAATACACCTGAGAGAGCAGAGGGGAGGGTGAGGGACACACGTAAGGTTCAGCAGCAGCAACATGAGGAGTTAATCTGTTTATGTAACATTTTTATATTTTGACTGCCACAGATTTCACACTCAATCTGATGTCGTTATTCTGTTTTGGCATCAGATCAAAATGAGGATATTAATCCCGGATGAAGATGTGGAGAAGTTAGCTGTTGAATTAACTGACATGTTGATCCTTTTGATGTTTTCATCTGAGCCTGATGAGGTTTGTCTGGTATAAATGTTTTGGGGTAAGAAGTTTAGCTTGTCCCTGTAAACACAGATGGGTAGTAACTAAAGTCTTATTACAATTTAAGAGGTCAAAGTTCACCCTCAATGCAAAAATATGTTTTTTTCCTCATACCTGTAGTACCTGTAGTATGAGTCCACAGGTACTACTCGGCGTTTCCCAGCAGTTTTCCAGCCACCAGACTTGGGTGTTTTTCCCTGATACTTTGCTGCATTTCCCAGTGGGATTTGTAGCACTAAGCCTGGATGTTTTTACCAATACATCATGATGTTTTCCAGGGGAGTTTGAGCCACCAAACCTGGGCGTTTTTCACCGAACTGTCCCTGCTTTTCCAGCAGCTTTTGTGCCTCCAAATGTGGATGTTTTACGCCAAAACATTATCTATGCCTAACCAAAACGAATTGACTTTTGTGCCTAAGCTTAACCACACCTTCACTGCAGCATTATTCCCTGTCACCTTTCACTGTTTACCGTCAAATGAAGGCAAAAATGTCCAAAAATGATTAATTGAAATGTAATACTGATAAGTTACCTGCTTGATGCCCATCAATTCAGAGTAATCATAGATTACGAGGATGCTGCAGATGATTGCCCAGCAGAGGAAGTGCAGACTGAAGCAGAGCAGAGGGAACCAGATACTCCAGGGTGCGTGACGTATCGACCACAAACAGGGGGCGCCAGTCACGGGCTGCCAGTAACGCATCAAAATCTAACAAAGGGGCGAAAGAGGATAATGATGCAGAGTAGTACAGGTAAACATGTATATGAAGACCTTAACTTGAACTCCTTTTAGAAGATGAAATCTTGCAAACTGCTGTAAAATGTCAGTTGCATTGGAATTGCTTTGATGTACCTGGAGCGCCAGAGCGGTGGTGAAGCAGTATGCTGTCCTGTTCAGTGACCCCAGCACTGATTGGAGGGCCTGTTTGACAGGTGACCAGGCGAGCAGACTATGCTGTGTGATGAAGAGAGCCAGCAGCCCCAGATCCACAGTGAGAGACCTGAGGACAGAGCTGTCCTGCAGAGCCACAGACCACGGGATGGAGTCTGAGGCAAGAGCAAATGATGTGAGGAGAAAGCTCATTTTAAATTCTGATCACCTGTTGCACTTGAAGTTTGAATTACTGTCATGAATTTTATTTATTTTATCTGACAAAAATTGAGAACTTCTCCATGACTTTTCAAGGACACACATAAAAATTTCTATGACCATTCACAATGTGTAACACGGCACTGCTCCATCTCAGAAGTGGGGCATATAGCACAGGCATGGAAACTCTGGGATTCATGACCCCACGTGTTAAATCACACTGTCACAACATTATTTTTCTTTTATTTAAACATATCAGATTCAAGCTCTATTCGAACATAACTCCAGCTGGCTGAGGGAGAGATGGAACATGGGGAGAAAATAAATAAACGTACGTGATAATAAACAAAACACTGTCACACATCAGCACAAATTAGCCTAAATCTACATTACATCAACAGCTACAGAAAATATCATTCCCTGTTATGTTACAGTACGTGGAAGGTTATCCACTGAAGATCAATGTAACAATGTCATTGCACACAACAACATTCCATGATTTTTCCAGGTTTTCCATGACCCTGGGAACCCTGTTAAATAAAAACTGAGTAAAAAAGACGTGGACTGAAGCTGTAGCTTATTCAAGCTACAAAAAATGAGAAAATATATGAACAAGCTGCTCAGTCCAGACCAGACAATAATTAAAAGTAAGTCATTTGTGTATATAGACCATCATAATTACACTACTCATACATACACACACACAGTGTTACCTTGTTTTAGTTTTACTAAAATACAATAAAAAGTATGCCTTTTGTCTTTTTGCACACTGTAATGGTCTAATAACACTCTATTATTCATGAATGCATTGAGAACACACAAGTACTGTCTATTTGCGAGCACTCAAGCATTAAACAGCCGCAACCACAGCAAATGTATATACATACATAACCCAGACAGCCATTGAACCATGGAGCTCTTTTACTGTGATACAAGCAAACATGTAGTCCTCCTTCTCACTCTCACTGTGCTGAATTTAAGGAAATCAAAGTTAAATTAAACAAAAATTGTGTCACAAATATAGAAATGTTTACACGAGTCAGGGAATACCTTGGATATAAAAGAAAAGTAGGGGCTAGAGATGAATGTTATTGGAAATGATGAAACCAGTGAAGATGTGTGTACAGGGGGACATAAAGTTAGGAATAGGTCACTATTGACAGAGTTCAACTGGAAATTAAAAATGAATGATAGCAGTAACACAAATGTGTGCTGAAGGGATTGTAAACAGGTTGGAGGTCACACACACATTTAATGGGACTATCTGAAATTGAAGCCATACTGGAAAGAGCTTCTTACAAGCATGCAATGCAATCCCCGAAGGAGCAGTTTATAAGAGAAAGGTTTACTTGCTGCATTATCTTTCATTGGCGGCAAAAAAAAGATGACTATCTTGGCTCAAACCATCTCACCCCTATGGCAAGCCAGGTTAATGACAGTGTACTCAATGGAAAAGATAACAGCAAACCTCCAAATAAAGATACACAGGTTTTTGAATCTATGGGCTCCTGTAATTACATATTTTAGATGACCAAAGTGATAACGTGCTGTGCTGATTTAATTGTGAATTTGGACAAAACTGATTTCTTTTGATGTATTTGTTTTTCATTTTATTATTTTGCCTTTTTTTGAGACTCTATGTGGATGCACATGTTGCCTTGATTTATATTTTGTATATTTGTTTGCTGAACTGTGAGTATATATTTTTTTCTATTTCCTGACATAGAATTTGACATCAAATTTGAAGAAAACATTTTGTTGAAAAAAAAAGTTTTTATATTTTTCCGGGCATCTAGTAAATATTTGTATTTTCTCTCTGTAAAGTCACAACATGGGGCTCGAACATACTTATGAAAAGGCTGAACTTTCGTGTGTCGTAGCCTTTGTATTAAGTTTTTTAATTCATAATCACAATGGTTTAAAGACCAAAGTCTTTGGTGATGCTATTTCAAGGACACCAGCACTGACGTAACATACGAAGCCACCGAGGTGACAGACTGAAGAGGCTAGAGTCGTCCAGCAAAAACAAAAGAAAAAGAAAAGAAAAAAAAAAAGAAAAAAAAAAAAAAGCTGACCGCCCAACGTGGGGCTCGAACCCACGACCCTGAGATTAAGAGTCTCATGCTCTACCGACTGAGCTAGCCGGGCGCTGACTTTTCTTGCCGCAAAGGTGCAATATCAACGGTACGGTTGACCTAACACTTTCTTACCAGTAGTAGAAATTTGTGCTAGCTCTGACTCAAGGTTGAGGTGTGTGAATTTTTACTCGCTAAAAACTATATTTTAATTCATGTCATTAAATATCTTAAGACTTAAATGATGCACCCGTTGTTACAAAGTCATAACGAAGCCCTGGCAGCCATCTCATGTTAGCTATGGTTTCCCAAATAACTCCTCCACTTAACTTAGTTAACCTAAGGAGGGTCATGTATTACAGAAACTTACCTTGACAGAGTGTCGTCTCTCCGGTGATGTTGTGGTAAATGGCTCGAAATGATATAAACCGAATAAAATCTGCTCCGGATATGAACACAAACGCAAAGTTGAGCAGGGACACGGTACAGAGAGCCGAGCCACGTACCGTGACTGACGCCATTTCAATCAGCGATTATCTTCATTTACCAACAAGAGTTTCTTCCGGGAGTTTGTGGCAGTACTAAATATTAACACACGGTGTCGCTGCTGCACCAGGAAGAGAAAGTGCAAAAGCATCCGTGCTGTCAAGGAGAGTTTTTTTAAATTAGATATTTGGTTTAATTTTGCTTTTATTTAATTTACTAAATGTCAAGGCGCAGTTGTCCCCAAATAATTGGATATGTTTCAATATGTACCACTTCACTGTGCACCAGAAAGGACAGTTGTGGCTCACGAAAACATAAAAAGCAAGAAAAATGCAACACAACATGGTCTGTAATCTCTATACATAATTGCTCATATTCTCCACACATTTGTTGTGACTTTTGCACATTCCTTGAAAAATAATTTGCACATACCTGCACAAAACTGAGCTCTTAAGTTTTTTTTTATAACAGATATATTGCACATATTACAGTAGGCCTACAGCAAACAGTAGGGTCTAAAAGTCTGAGACCACATTGAAAATCTCTAATATTTTCATGAAACCTTGAAATAATCAGAAACTCTGATCATTCAGAACAATTTACAAACAAAAGATGTTAAAAGAAGTTAAACAAAAAATAAATATTTAAGATTTGGCACCATTTCTAGGTCAGCAATCAAATGTAAGCAAATTTGTGAGAAAGGTCAGATTTCCTTCAGTTGTATCTCTTTCTTTGAAACATGCGTTCAGATGTCACTCAGGTGGATTTGATCTACTCATCTGAGGCTCATTCAAGAAACTTAACTTGTGGCTTTTATCTTTCATTTTCTCTATTTACCACAGCAAATTCCTTGTATGTGAAAAGCTACTAGAAGTAGGCCTAAACTAGTAGAAATATAAAACTAATGCTTAAAACAAAGAATTAAACATCATGACATATAAAATAAAATGTGTAGTCATTTTTGTAGATCAGATCTTTTATCTAAAGTTCTGATTGCATTTGGAATAAAAGACCAAAGGTTCCCTGCAGCTTCCCACAGTACAGAGCCTCAAACAGAGAGTAAAGGACAAGGACTGTTTGTCAGGATGCTCACAGCTTCGTCTCTTGTCCATGTGGTATTCAAATATTCAAGATTCCTCAGGGGTTTCCTAAATATTTTGCTGACCATGTGGATCATTCAAGCCTGCTCATTTTATACAGACCCCAAAAATTAATAAGAAACAGAGAGCACAAGACATCACTCAAGACTCCTCAATCTATTTGGAGTGACTTTATTGCAGACAGGAAAAATGCTACAAATTTATCAACTTAAACTTAATCTTCTTTTTAATGTTTCACAGTTACAAAACAAGACAGAAAAAACAGAGATACGTCTTCAAATGAGGTCAACCTCCCCTCTGTAGCACTCCACATGGTAATTTCTGTCCAATGATACCACTCGAATAGACACTGTAGACCCCTGAAACCACCAACAAATGCAGGGAAAACTGTTAAGATGACTTCTCAGACACCAAAGTATCAGATACTGCTATTGAAACAATATCGTCAGCTCACCTCAGTTGGCAGTATCGGCACTCTGCACGCAGCACACAGAGGAGCTCTGACCCTGAAACCATGAAGAAGTCTCAGCAAAAGTTCACAGAAACTCAAAAGTGAAGTCACTCTGGGTGTGACTTATCTCACGTGTAGCCCGTCTGGCAGGGTTTGGTTTCATCTATTGTCTGGAGTGTGAATTAAAGGGCTTGGCTGTGTGAGAAACTCACTTGTAGTAGTCGCTGACACAGTAAACTCTGCTGTCTGTGTCCACAGAGAAGGGCTGGCCCTCCAGGCTCTGTCTGCAGACCACACAGCGAAAGCAGGACGGGTGGTAGGACTTCCCACGAGCCTGCAAGACCTGACGATGCAAAATGAGTTTGTCTTTACACCATGTGAGAGCCAGTGGTGGAAAGTAACTGAATGCATTTACTCAAGTACTGTACTTAAGAAGCCTGTAATTTTGAGGTGCCTCTACTTTGCTTGAGTATTTATGTTTTATGGTATGTTATATTTCTACTTTAAATATTGGGATTATTTCTGAAGGTAGATATCATATGATACATGATTCATCTCGTGACCTTGTGACCCTTGCGACCGACCCTGATCTCTAGGTTGGAAACCATGCACTTCACTAAACTATAGAGTCATTAAAACCAGCTTAACCACTGTAGACACTCACGGCGATAACTGTCCTGCAGAAAGAGCACTTTAACTTTTGATACTGAACTAAATTTTGATGATATAAATTCAGTGCTTACAAGTAAGTAAGATTTTGAATATAATACTTTTAAAATGTTGTATCTGTAATTTTACTTAATTAAAGGATCCAAATACTTCTTCCCAGTGGTGGAAAGTAACTAAGTATGCTACGTCTACTCAAATATTGTACCTTAGTACAATTTTGAGATACTACTAATTGACTAAAGTATTTAAATTTCCTACCTTGTATTTCTACTCCACGAAATTCAGAGGGAAATTCTTTTTACTGCACTGCATTTATTTTATGACTTTAGTTACTTTGCAGGTTCAGATAAATATAACAACACGGGCTGCAAAACAGGCTATTAATAAATAAATTATGATGTATTAAAGGTTCAGTGTGTGGGATTTAGTGGCATCTAGTGGAGAGGTTGCAGAACTGACACTTCTCCCAGATGTCAAGCGTGTAGGAGAACAGTGGCGAACGTGAAAACGTGAAAGTACGAACGCCTCGATCTACAGCCAGTGTTTGGTTTGTCACTTCTGGGCTACTGTAGAACAACATGGTGGACTCAGTGGGAGAGGACCCGCTCTGTATGTAGAAATGAACTGCTCATTTGAAGGTAACAAAGACACAATGATTCTTATTTTCAGGCAATTATAAACTAACGATAACATCGTTATTAATATTATACACCATTTCCGGCAGTAGATGCCCATAAATCCTACACACTGCACCTTTAAATTGGATGAAGATAACACTTATTGATCCTTTGGTGAAATTCTGCTACCTGGCAGTGTGTATAGTAAAATAAGTCCCACTGTTACCTGGTGCAACATTAAAGTGACAAACATATTAATGCATCAATAATTATAATCTAATATGAGCTACATTACTCTGCTGAGCCCTTCTGTATCATAAGAACTTATAGTGCTTTGGTGCTTTAAGTATATTTTAAGAACTTTCATACTTTGACTTAAATTTTGAATGCAGCCCTTTCACTTGTAACAGAGTAGTTCTACACTGTGGTATTAAGTAAAATATCTGACTATGTCTTCTACGACTGGTGAGAGCATGCAATATACTTAGCACACACAGTGAATGACTTCACACTCACCATGTCCATAATTAAATACCCGCAGCTGTCACACACTTCTGGGGATGCATGAGCTCCTGAGCACTACATTAAATAACAAGACAATTCACTCATTACATGTCTGGTAATTAAACTGGACACAAATCATATGTTTGTGCATTGTTTTAAGTCTGTATGCAGCCATGCTCAAACTGTATACTCTCACCAGGAAATCATCCTCACAGTAGATTCTTCCTGACACTGTGTAAAAAGACTTCCCACTGAGCTGTTCACCTGAACATGAAACAAAGGACAAGGAATATGATGAATATTTGATAACAAAGTCAACTTTAAATGGTCATCTCAGGCATAAAAAGGAGATTAGCTGAGTTTTTGAGCAATAAACTCTTAAATAATACCTAAAGATCCATTTCTAATTTGGATTGTTGCTTGATTACTCTTGAATATTTATTGTGACAAAGTAATACAAAAGATTTAAAGTCAAGTTTTGAGGGGCTTTAGGAAATTCTGGACCCAAAACATCCACTGTCACATCAGAAGGACTCACCGCAAATGCTGCAGGTGAAACAAGCCTTGTGGAATAAATGTCCCATCGCCCGGCAGGCTCTGCCTTCACCGTACACCGCTTTGCTGCAGCTCGTACAGCTTCCTGAGTACACAACACAAAGAAGTGGCTACTGTGACACCTGATCCTCTCTTCATTGACTAAAAACATATTGTACAGACTGACACACACATGCTGTAACACTCAATCAGTGTATTCCTTCCTTACCAAAGTAAAGGCTGGGGCTGTAACTTGGGTCCATCTCATGCTGGAGCCTACAGTACGACTGTCTGGGGGTCTAATTTTATGTGCGGTGCAGACAGCTGTAAGGGGAGCTGCTCTCCGGGTTCACAAGTGTTGCATTTGGTGCTTTTGGTCTCTTTGGGGGCAGTGACTGTTCAGACCCCCCGACTCCTCCAAGGTGGCTGAGTGGGTGGCAACAGACGGGTAGCTTTTAGCACAAGTTGGAACACCACAAGATTCAGTATTTACATACATCTGGTGTTGGATCTGCATTGAAATATTCACAATTTCTCATTCAAATGGGAGTTGTTGTCTGGGCTGGGTGTGAAACCAGCAGTCAAGTACCAAAAGCTACAGTACTCATTATACAAAATGACCCATTTCAGAAGAATAACATCATATCCTCCTGAGACCCTGTGTCCTCAAAAAAGGACATCACATTTTGGGTTTAATTGGCCTTATACTTCTACTCAACTCAGACCTGTTGTCCTTGTTCCCTGACACATTTTTGTGCCATCTAGTGGTAGTAAGACCACAGTACACTTATCCAGGTAAAAACAAGATGGCAGCCATCTCTACCAACTCTGTCTGTAGCCAACAAGGTCCAAAGCCTGATCACATTTTATGGCTGAAACGTATTTATTTATGATTAATAGGGTGTGTAGTTTGATATGACAAATAAATTTGACCAATTTTAGCAACACAAACAAGCTGAGACACTCTTGATTAGGAAATACTCATTTGAAGACATTGGGACTTTGTTATCATCTTGCTTGAAGACACTGGGACTTTCTTGTTGTCTCATTTAAAGATATTGGGACCTAATTATTGTTAAAAAATATTTAGTTGTTTTTACACTTATCAGGTTCTACTGATTCCAAATAGCTAGGAGAAATTAAAAATGAATACCAAACAAACGTG